CGGTCAGATACAGACTAAGTAGAGACTGGGATAAAGGAACTTGAGAGCGCAGAGGGGTGATAAAGTGCGATCAGAGCAAGACAAGGGAACCGTTTCTTTTTTTTATTATTTATTCGATCTTCTTGTTGAGTGGAACTGGCACAGATTGCGCCCAGATTCAACCAACTTCTGGTGAGGGAGAAACAGACATAAATTCGTCTGTTGCGCGCTGGTTGGGAGATACGTGTCTGAGCGTGCGTGCCCGTACGTAAGAAAAGGGGAGGGAAAGAGAGTGCAAAGGAGAGAGAACGTGGGAGGACACCCGTCTGAGAGAGAGAATGTGAGATGGCTACAGTGCGGGGAGGAAGTGAGTAAGAAGGCGTAGGGAAGGAAGGCAAGTCTAAAGTGGGAAAGACGGTCTGAATACGCGGACATTAGTGAGAGATCGCAGACGCACGAGCCTAAATGCGTGAAAGGGGGGGGAGTGACGACGGATGAGCAGGAGGGGTCTGGTGAGCCTGGGCGCGGTCTAATTAACGCGCGCGCCCTCACCGAGAAAAGGAGGGGGAGAAACTGCGAAAGACCGGCCCGGCGATTCACTTGAATGGTATTGGAGGATGCATGCGGGGACGAGTTGTCGCGGCTTGTGCAGTGCCCTTTTCGAACTAGGGATCGAGCCCTGGGATCTGCATCGGCTACTGCAAACAGGTGAATACCATTTCAGACTCATCATGTGTATACATATATATATATATATATATAGCCGTACATATTTCTTTGTTTTGTGGGTGTTTTGCTTGCTTGTGATGGAGTGTCAACAGACAGTCTGTAGAGTTTTCCATTTGGTGTGGGTGAGTGATAGTCTGCTTTGACTTTTGCCACAGGTACCTTGAGGTCAGTGGTTGGTGCCCACCTCAGGGTATCAGTTGTCGGGCAGTCGTTGATGGTTAACCACAACCAGGGGTAAGGTGGATTATCACTTACAGTGTGTAATCAGTTAGGGGATTCTGCAGACTGTTGAGGGTTCAGCCTCCTGATGAGTCGGTGAAACTCCGATGAAACAGTTTGCCAGAGCCCCTCATTTGTTGTCCTCTTCTCCCTCTTTGCCTACGGTTTACCGGGCAGCTCTGTATATATATATA